TGTAGGCAATCTTGTGCCAGCGTCTGAATAATCGCTGAGCCTTACAGCGATAACGCTGCGAGGCCTTCCTGAGGAGGTCTCGAGGTCTCGCGGCCTCGCGATCGTTCTGCTTTACAGCGTGAACGAGGCATGAAGAGGTCTCGTGATCGCTCTGCTTTACAGCGTGAACGAGGCATGAAGAGGTCTCGAGGTCTCGTGATCGTTCTGCTTTACAGCGTGAACGAGACATGGAGAGGTCTCGAGGTCTCGTGATCGTTCTGCTTTACAGCGTGAACGAGACATGAAGAGGTCTCGAGGTCTCGTGATCGCTCTGCTTTACAGCGTGAACGAGACTTAGAGACCTTGAGGTCACGAGATACGTAAATAATCGCTGCATTTGGGCTAATATTCATGCTGGTTTGACATTGTAAAAGCGCGGTTCCATTAAAACCAAAGTAGGAAGCGTAAAAGACAAAATTATTAACTACCGTGTTAATCTGATGATATTGCATTAACATTAGTTCCTTAGTAGTAGTAGTATGATGGTTTACTAGCGCATCAGCTATCAAGCTATTTCGCATCGAAGGTCAAAATATAACATCGCCAGCAAGGCGGAAGGTCTCAATTATTCAATATCTCAAGTTAATCATCACCCACAAGGGGCGGAAGGTCTCAATTGTCCAGCCCGCTGAAGCTGGCTCGAAAGAAGCAGCGTTAGCATCTCAAAGAGACGAAGTGACAAGGAGGGACAGGTGAAAAGCAACAGAAACTAAGACCCTCAAACAAGAGGTTGCTTACACGGGACGTCGGCCGCCCGCACGAGAGAGACAGAGAAGGGAAATGTAAGGAATCCTAGCTACATAATAACTTAATGTAAGGAATCCTACCTACATAATAACTTAACCCCACAACTGAGACCTGCAGTCAGATACTGCGCGCTCAGCGGTGGGGCGCTCAGGAACAATCCCCCTAGGAACGCGAGATCCCATTAGACTTCTGACCCCCCTTAGGGGTAGTTCCTTATATAGTATATATAAACTCCAAAATCCTCCTGTCATTCTCGACAGAAAATTCAAAGGTGATTGTTTTTATATTCGGTGGTTTTCCGGAAACATTTTTTTGCGATACTTTCGTAAATTTAGTCTGCGGCTCTGAATTCAAGTTCGCTTTCCTTGTATACCTTGAGTACCTCAGAGAGAAAAGTAATGTTGAGCTCGTACTAGTTACGAAAATACTCAATGACTATGTGATTAGAACAGCTTCACATCGACTAGCGAAGGTGGAGCGCCTCCGTTAATCACATTAACCGCAATTATTAATATATTCTAACTGCCTTTCGGAAAAACAGGTGTGCCTAAAGGATTGCATAGTCAGGATGCTTCTATTATGTTTGAAATATGTGTCACTCTAGGATAATGTTATTTTTCTGTAGGATGTATATATTCTAATTTAAAAACTATAAATATAAAAATATAAAATTGTATATTTTTGATGGACGTTACCCTATGATATGTTTCGTGCTTTAAATTAGAAATGTAGGTTATGAAGGATGTTTCTATATTATATTTTCAGGTATTTTTGAAGAATATGCATCTCTATGCGATGCCTGCTTCATCCATTTAATTTATGCTCATTTTATTCACTTTGACACATAATTCTTCACAGGTTATCCGACAATTGAAGAGTTTCCGCGGTTGTTCCACGAATTCTGTTTGCATGGAAATTGTGCAGACGTCATCTTCCCCAGGTAAAGTCTTTGCTGGGTGTTTGTGTTTGTGTTGTGACGAGTCGCAGCGGAAAAAGTGAAGGTTCCACTCCATGTTATTTGCCGTTTAAGGAAGAAATGCGACGTGCACTTGTTTCCATTTGCATAATCTGACAGCGGCTTAAATGCGCTAGGGCTTCATGGGAGGACAGACGATACAACGCTCGCTCAAAAGCTAATTTTGTTCCGTTATGATGATCGTTGATCCGATTATGTTCTTGAAATAGAGTTTATTAAACAGAGTATTATTAATACAAGTGAGGGAGAGTTGTTGTGGTGGGGAGCTGTTATAAATTCATTCAACCACTAAGTCGGAAATAACATCGTTCATGAAAACGATGCGGGATAAAAACTCTAAGTTTCTTTGTTAAAAATAAGGCCATCTGTTAGTTATTTCCTAGTTGTTGTTTCACTTGAGGGAAATTCTTGCTCAGGAAGGTTTTACTCCTACAGAAATGTTTTAAAAATGTTGAGAAAACTTTGTTCCAACTCTTTTCTTTTGTTTAAATGGAGCATATAGAAACAATCTTTTCGCGAGCATCGTGTCGAATTTTGTAAACTAGAAGAAAGGAGTAAGGAAATTAAAGTTAACTTTCCCCAAGGAAATTACCCCAACTTCTCGCTTGAGAACGAGAAGAAAAACTCGAGTTTTTCGCTAGAAACTTGAGTTTCTTATTAACCCTTCATACATGTCCGACTTGGGCACTGGTTAGGACAGGGCAATCCGAAATTGTGCTGCTCGTAGGAAGTTGCTTTGTAAGTTCAGGTGGAAATGCTAAATTGTCCTGTTGGGAAAAAGCTACTCTGTAATTTGAAGTAAGATGCTGATATACATGAAATTGTGCTGCTGAAATTAGCATATTAGTGTAAAACAGCGTGCATCATGTTTTTGTCTTTATTTTACATATGTTATATAACGTTATTGAAGTCTATGCTTTTTAGTAAGTAAAGATTTTGCCGTAAGTAAGATTTTGTGGCGCTTCTAAAAGAAATTCATGAAGTCAGAAACAGGAAACCAGTTTCAGTTTCTTAATGAGTTTGTAAGGATTTGCCTACATAACTATGTAAAACTTTCAAGCAGTATCTCCATTTAATCCTTCTGTGTGTCACTTTATTTCTGGTGAACATTGCTCGCTCAACAAATTCTCTTCACATTAGCATAAACATCGTACGGAATGCGACCGGCGAGCCGTGCACGCATTAAAGCGGCAGGATAGCAGCCAAGTTTAACCGTAGAGTTAATGCTCTCGAACTTTTACAACGACACTGCGGTCTATTACCAATTAGTTTTCGAATACATTATAACCGTCGTCTAAGTTGTTCAAATTGCATCTAAACCACTGGCTGGTAACGAGAGTTACCGTCTATAGACAAGGAAGGTTAATTCTTTACGTACGGATATATTAAATGTCGTCACTGCTATTCGTATCTACAGTGACGACATCCGTATTTTTATACAGGCATGGACTTTTTTCGCGAAAAAGTTTTTTTTTCCACAAAAGCGAGCGTAGGGGTCATTGCCTCATTTAGAAAACAAGAGCTCTCGTGTTTAAATGAATGAATACAAAGTGGTGCAAAAAAAACGCACATTTCTTGGCTAATCTTTACTTCAATTTGAAAGTTTATATTTATTATTCATTTGCGAGCCGTATTGTTCATGTCCAATAAGAAACGAGCACTCTAATTTCTTATATTTGTGCTCTCGAAAAATTACACACTCCCGAAATTTTCCGCAATTATTATTATATTATTATCTTTCGCTCGCAGATATTGTTTATCTTCTGCTATTCTTATCCAGAAGACACCGGATATTCTCCCACTGGTTATTTTCGACGGCTTTGCGTCGTGAAGCAGCGATCCTCGAGGGAGGCCACGCCCTTCGAGATTCCTTATATTTTGTCGGGCGAATTTTCTGAGCTCCTCACGGCCTACGGACGCTCCAAAGACCTCAGAGGAAAACCAGGCAGGCCTTTGAAAAAAAAACTCCATAGACGCGCGGCACTCCAACAATAAAGTGATGGGTGCTGTTCCTGCGCGTGTTCTAGAGGCAGTGATGACGCGTGCTGTTCCTGCGCGTGTTCTAGAGGCAGTAATGGCGCGGGCTGTTCCTGCGCGTGTTCTAGAGGCAGTAATGGCGCGGGCTGTTCCTGCGCGTGTTCTAGAGGCAGTAATGATGGGTGCTGTTCCTGCGNTTAATCATGGTATAACATTACTCAACTCATTATGTCGAGGAACCATTAATTTCTTTCAAAAAATAGATCCAGACAGTGAAATTACGCCATGATTGCGCCATTGAAATTGCTGAAATTGCGACACGATATATTTATATCAATTATTTTAACGATAACTTAACCTGTCTCTTATACACATCTAGATGTGTATAAGAGACAGGGTTAATATACTTCCGTATTAGGGAAGGTCACCAGCATCCAAGATATTGCGAAACAGCCTTTAAAAATGATAAAAAATAGAAAACAATGTACCTGTTCATCCACTTCATTGGTGTTTTCAAGATATATAATTTTATCCATTAATCCTGGTTAATTTTGTCCAATATTCCTGGATAATTTTATTCACTAGTCCTGAATAATTTTGTCCAGAAATCCTGAATAATTTTGTCCAGTAATCCTGGATAATTTTGTCCAGTAATCCTGAAAATTTTTGTCCAGCACTCCTGGAATGCATCATCATAGGTTGATTTCGTTACAGAGATCAATGGAGGAGGCAGAACGCGCTATATAACTTACTTTAGGGTCTGCTGCTGCACTGCTGCTGCTGTTGCTGCTGTACTGGTGCTTCTGCACTGGTGCTGCTGTACTGGTGCTGCTGTTGCACTACTGCACATGTGCTGCTACTGCATTGCTGCAGTTGCTCTGCTGCACTGCTGCTCCAGCCGCTGCATCACTGCAGCATTCAAGATTTCCGGATTACGCTAAATTTAAAATCTTGTAGGCAAATACCCGAACCTCAACTTCTACTTGCCCTCGCCTTTTTAAACTGAATTCTTTCCCTACTAAAACATAACACATTTCCAAATTTATTTCCTGGCATATTTACAAATACGATGATAATTCATATGCTGTCGAGATGGCCGTTTGCTGGCCCCGAGGCACTAACGCGTTCGGTAGTCCGGCAACGCAAGATTTATTTGTGGCATTGATCGGGGCTGTCGCCTCGTCCATAATATTTACACCTTCGCCGCTGATGGAAAGGCCGCAAATTATTCGACGCTTTGATTAAGCGTCGAGTGTGAAACATGATGTTGGTGCAGTGCGACGTGTTTGTTGCAAATGGAAGGTGTGATATTGAGGCGGAAACTGGAGGAGGGTATGTGTGTGGTTTGGAAATTGGAGGAGGGTATGTGTTTGATTTGGGAATAGAAGGTGCGATATTGGTTTGGAAATTGGAGGTGGGTATGTGAGTGGTTTGGAAGCTGAAGGAGGGTAGGTGTGTGGTTTGGAAATTGGGGCTGGTTGTGTGTGGTTTGGAAATTGGGGCTGGTTGTGTGTGGTTTGGAAATTGGGGCTGGTTGTGTGTAGTTTGGATATTGGAGGTGGGTATGTGTTTGGTTTGGAAACTGGAGTTGGGTATGTGTGTGATTTGGAAATAGAAGGTGCGATATTGGGGCGGAAACTGGAGTTGGGTATGTGTGTGGTTTGGAAACTGGAGGTGAGTATGTGTGTGGTTTGGAAACTGGAGGTGGGTATGTGTGTGGTTTGGAAAAAGAAGGTGGGTATGTGTGTGGTTTGGAAACTGGAGTTGGGTATGTGTGTGGTTTGGAAACTGGAGGTGAGTATGTGTGTGGTTTGGAAAATGGAGGTGGGTATGTGTATGGTTTGGAAACTGGAGTTGGGTATGTGTGTGGTTTGGAAACTGGATATGGGTATGTGTGTGGTTTGGAAACTGAAGTTGGGTATGTGTGTGGTTTGGAAACTGGATATGGGTATGTGTGTGGTATGGAAATGAGATGTGGGTATATATGTGTGCGGTTTGGAAATATAAGGTGGGTATGTGTTGTGCTATTTAAATTGGGGCTGGGTATGTATGTGGTTTGAAAATAAATGGTATTAATGCACGTGTTCTTTCTGTGCAGAACGAAGACATCTGCTTCGTTCGCCTCTCCAGAACTTCTTGAGTCGAGGAACTTCTTGAAAAATCTCAATTTTCTCGGATTTAGCACCAATAAACCTGCAAAATGTATAATGAATTAAGAACTAATTAAGCCTTCCCTCTGAACAAAAAGCGTTTCTGTTATGTTTTCTAAGCGCGTGTCACTCAATTAAAAATAATTTCTTGATTCGTACCATTGAATCTCGTGGTGACACTGATTGATTTTCACTGCCTCATATTCGTTCAATTGGAAATAACACATTCACATTTCACTGAAAAATGGTGAATTTTATCGTATAATCACTCATAACAATGAAAGTGATTTAAATAATCTTGTGCCTAGACACAGATTCGTTCTATCGGGCATCACTCTGCACTACATCTGCAATGTTAACACATTCACAAGTGATGTTGTGAAAGAGCTAGTTTTCAGACTTTCTCGACTTTATCTTCGAGCTTTATATTATTCATTAGCTCTAATTCGCACATTTTCTCGCCGTACAAAATATAAAATTATGGAGACAAAATTCTCATTGAAGAAACTTTGATTGACGAAACCCGCACACACACACAGCATCTTTACCCACAACAAGATGAAGTGGAGCATAAATCCATTATCATGGATCTATACCTTCAGCACAAATCCATTGCCACTGATTTACACCATATGTATAAATCCATTGGCATGGGTCTATACTCTCTGCATTAATACCCTGCCCTGGATTTATATCCTGATCACAAACCCACCACCCTGGATTTACACCCTGAGCACCAACCCACTACCGTGGATTTACAGCCTGATCACAAACCCACTACCCTTGATTTATACCCGGATCACAAACCCACTACCACGGATTTATACCCTGAGCACCAACCCACTACCATGGATTTATACCTTGATCACCAACCCACTACCCTGGATTTATACCTTGAGCACAAACCCACTACCACGGATTTATACCCTGAGCACCAACCCACTACCCTTGATTTATACCCTGAGCACAAACCCACTACCCCGAATTTATACCCTGATCACCAACCCACTACCCTGGATTTATACCTTGAGCACCAACCCACTACCCCGAATTTATACCCTAATCACAAACCCACTATCCCGAATTTATACCCTTAGCACCAACCCACTGCCCTGGATTTATACCCTGAGCACCAACCCACTACCCTGGATTTATACCCTGAGCACAAACCCACTACCCTGGATTTACACCACCACAATACTGGCTGGGTTGTCGACAAGCGTGACAGCGCAGGCCATCGGGCTGCCACACACGGCGCTTGAGACGCGCTGTAGTCTGGCGGAGTGGCCGTGTCGCAGCGACGTGCAGTGCGTGAGTCTCGACCGATACTGCGACGGTGTCAGGGACTGCGAGGATGGCAGCGATGAACCGCCAGACTGCACCCGTGAGTGTATTTTGGAGATGATAACTCATGTGTAATGATGTATAATTTCGTGTACTTATATTTAATGATATATTATTTCGTAAACCGATGTATAATGATCTATAAATTCGTAGACCGATGGATAATGATCTATAAATTCATAGACCGATGGGTAATGATCTATAAACTCGTAGACCGATGTATAATGATAGATAATTTCGTTCGCTAATGTATAATTTTGAGTGCTTTTACTTTGTTTGGTATATTGTTTACTTTGTATTGTTGAGGTCGACGCGATTGTTCTCGTGAGTGAATTTCGGGTGAAAACAGCTTATACTCAGATAAATGAAAATGATTTGTCCAAATAGCGATGCGCTTCTTGCCATTGTGTTCCGTGTTTAATTTTGAACAACATATATTAGACGAATTGATAGTGAAGCAAGTAATACAGTACAGTGAAACTATTTGTGTTAGTTGTGTGTTAATCATGACTTTCAAACAGGATTACAATTCGTGTTGAGGATCTCTGACGCTTGAAATTATGTAAATAATTACAATTATAAAGAAAATATAATAAGAATTGAAAATTTTCTAGTATTGTAGTAGAAGTGGCAAGCGTTATTAGCCAAATTAGTGCGAATAACATAAGCAATGATTAAAATAAATACATAAACACTGGGAGTACGGCAACCTTATCCAGCTCAACATCGACAGGTTCAGTCTCGGCTGGTGCGGGCTAGAATTACAACTTAAACCTATGTGTAATGAAGAGAACTTTAGTTTTCCTGTGTACGAATAAAATAACGGTTAATGAATACATCAATACTGGGAGTGCGGTAATGCCATCAAGCTCAACATCGACAGGTTCAGCCTAGGCAGGTGCAAGCTAATATTTGTGTTAAAATCTTTGTCTGCGGAGAGTAACTTTCGTTTCCAGGCCTTAATTAACTTAGGTACGAAATTGCCAACGTTAGTTGTATTAGTAAATAAAAGGTAAGCGCTATCTCTTTATCTAATGACGATAACTTTCGTTACAAAGCCTTTAGGTACGAATAACATTGCTGACGCTAGATATATCCGCAAATGACGGGTAATTTTTTTTCTCCGTGATCGCATAAATTTTGGATATAATATTTGATTGAGTTGTCGGACAAGTTATCTTAGGTTCTTAAATTCGTTCTTTATTACATAAACTATTGGTAAGTAAGTATATGCTAGTATGCTTGTCTCCTCGATTATCCTCGAGCATGATTATTACATGGAATTTTGAGCTACAATAGCATTTTATTTGCAATCTAGAATAACATTTGGCTGGCTAGCTAGAAGATCCATTCATTCATTACATTGCAAGTTAGAACATCCGTCAAATTTTGAGCTGAAATATCCAGGAAATATCCTTCATAACTCTTAAGTATGAAGACGAGCATATTTTTCTTGACGTATAATCGAGCGACGCCGAGAAGCGTTGCATGCGTGACAGCTGCAGAGGCGTTCATCAATTAACTGGACAAGCGAGACCATGAAAGCTGCTACCATTGAACCATTGATCTGGTAGCAGCTGTGGCTGCCGAGGTGGTTGCGATATTAGTTACAGTTGTCCCAGGTTTCTGGAATGTCTTGGATACTTAGCCAGAATCTGTGAATATTTACCCAACAGTTTCTAGGTTTATGTAATATATTGAAAAACTAGCCAAAGCCTATGAATATTTACCAGTTTCCAGGTTTATGTAATTCCTGGAAAACCAGTGAGATTCTAAAAATAATTTCGCAAAAAAAATGACATTGAGTTACACAGATTGTGTTCAACTACAAAATTTTATAATCAAGCAATATTCCAACATATAAATGCAAATTCGTTACAATAAGTTAAATAAAGCTACACGAATGTGATCATCGATGGGTATTTGCCACTTCTAACTTGCTTTCAGCGATTAAAGTTTGTAAAAGGAAAAGTTTCTTCATTAACAACGAAAAATAGTCCCCTCTCTCAATTCCTTTGCTGCAGGTTAATCCATTTTTCAGACTTCGGTCGTGTGCTGCTTCATCTTGAATCGAAAAACGTTTCTTGTTGAGGTTTTGTTAATTTTTGGCCATTTCTTATTGAATTGGGTTTTTTCGGGCTTTTCTTTTGTTTCGGGAAATTATTGGTTGTTTTTCGTCTTTTTTTGCTTGGTTCAATAATGATTCCCAAATAAATTTTAATTATTGTCCATCAATTTTCTTTCTAGGTTCACATCTCATACTGAGAAAGGTTGCCCAGATGGGCACATGCAGATAGCTGAACCCAGCCGTCCCCTGGGAGCAGGGTACTGGTGTGGTACCTCATGGGGATCTAACGTATACTACTCCGAGACCTCGGCAGTGGCTCTTCTTCTGAGGGTCTTCAACCACACCGAAACTCCCGAAGCCGAAAACCAGGGAGGTCCTAACTCTGAAGAAGCCGTTTTGTTGCGGCTATCCTACAGATTCTTGAAGAAGAATCAAGCAGTCTTGCGGTACGGCCCTCCATACCGGCCTTATTTTCTAGGTAAGGCCGTGAGAAGGACCTACTGTGATAAATTTTTCGATGACTGTGACCAGCAGAACTGTAAGCTACAGTCACCTAATTATCCAGGAATGTACCCAAGGAATTTGACCTGCCAGTACAAAGTGCATCAGACTCACGCACCTCCCGGCAAAGTGGCGCTAGTAAGACTCAAGCAAGAGAATCCTCATCTAATTTACATTAAAGACAAAAATGCTCCTCATGTTAAGAGAGACAGGAAACTGGCGCTTGCTGAGAACTGTGACGTTTTACAAGACTACATCGTAATTCACGATGGCAACACGACTGATGCTCCTATATTGCTGAAGGCATGCAAAGGCGGTCCATTGAGCTCCATTACTGCAAGTGGACCGAATATTTTGGTCTTATTCCATGTTTCGCCGTTTGACTTCCCATTCCAAGATTCCCCAAGGCGAAAAATATACGGGTTTCAGTTCGATGTTGAAATAATGTTTGTTGATAGCGATTCTACAGCGTATATTAGGCGGCCGAGCAGCATCCTGGTACTTCCTCCATTACTCGCAGAAATTCACGATCCTTATGTGCCGTGTTCCTGGGAGATGAAGAGTAGTGGCAGGAGGTCTGGATATGTCCAGGCTCCAGAACATTCGCTTCTTCCGAACACCAGCTGCACATGGCGGCTATCCGGTGGTATTGGCGAAGTTGTCTGGCTGTCTTTCCTCCATTATCGACACGTGATTCACAAGGAAATACCCAAACCTGTTCGTTGCACGAACACCCTCACCATCCACGATGGAGCTACGACCAACGCAACAATGCTTGCAAATGTTTGCCAAACCGAGAAATACCCAAGAGTTTGTGGGGGAGGTGTCTCTGTAGCTTGCCTCCCTGAAGACAGCTATATCAGCAACTCGCCTCTGTTGACCATCACTCTGCATTACGCTGAGGGGACAATTGCAAGCCACATAGAATTTTTGGCTCGATTTGAGTTCGTAAGGAGACGTCAATGGGGCCTCAGTACACAGAGCGGTAACTCGTGCGACCGTACTTTTGGTTCAAGTCCTGACAGACTCTTTGCATCTCCAAGAGACGTCTTTTATTTTGGTCGAGGAGGCCGAAAGAAACTTCGGTGCACCTACACGTTTAAGGGCGGTCACAACCAAGTTATTTCTATCAGGATGTTGCGGTCATACATGGGGGATCATTGTCGCACTTTGCGCCAAGGTTCTTCCAATCGCTATGAATGTTCCAACGGAGGATCTGATGACTATCCCTCAATCTGGATCGTAGAAGATATTTGGCCTGGAGTTCCGTTGCGGCGTGCATGTTTGTGCGATGTTAACCGACCCATAACAATCATGTCTTACACTTCAAAAGTATCATTTATATTCAATGTTCCCCACATGACGCCAAGAGATGATTACACTCATTATTTCTTCGAAGGAGAGTACGAACTGTTGCCTGCACCTACTCCTATTAACGGAGTGGGCTGTATCGCCGATCACAGACGATATGACATCCCACATGGCAATTTCACAGTCGGAGCAGGCGGGCTTGCTGATGCTTGCGATTCGCTTCCTAGACTCATTACCCCACCAGACGGTGGATTTCTTTTCTTAAGAGTCGATGGATTTGCAGCTACTGAGAAAAATTGTGTGCTCGGATCAAGAATAAATGTTTACGGTGTTGGTGGCCTGTCGCCTTTGTCTTCGATTTGTCCTGAACCCGGAGAGTTTAAAGCTCAAGTGTTCAGCAATGGATGGGAGAGAAGACCTTTATACAACCGAACAGGCCCTTTGGAGCCTTCCCGTGCACTCATTGTTGAGTACACTGGTAATTACTCTACTCGAGCAGTGGTAAACTGGATATCCGTGTGGCGACCAGTGACCTTATCATTGACAGCTCCTTCAGTCGGCTGTGACCACAGATGTCCTGAGATCGGCGCTTGTCTGCCACAGGAACTGATGTGCAACAGAATACCGGACTGTCCATCAGAGGCTGATGAAACTGCTGCTGCTTGCGGGATTCTCGCAGCCTTGCCGTGGGCGACGGTTGTCGTGGCAGGAACCATGTTACTGGCACTCCTCATCCTCCTTATCGCGGTAGTCACACGACGGCGGCCTCCGCGAAAAATGCCTATGCATGAGTCCAACAGTTTCGACTCTTTGCCAAAGCTCAAGAAATCTAAAGACAACAAGAAGAAGAAAAAGATCAAGGCGAACATCAATGATTTTGGAGGAAGTATCGGAAAGATTAGCAACAACAGCAGTTATTTTACCCCAAGTACGAAGAAACCTCCAAGCAGTTCTGAAGATTTCCTTCTGCCCCCGGACGGGGCTTCTTGACATCGCGCCCCCGTCCCCCCCGCGCTCGTGTGTGTCGACTACGAGACGACCGTGTGAAGGGAGACGAGGGGAAACGATGGGGACCTGTCCTCAAAATACTCAAAACAATCGTAAGGAAAGTTATGGTGGATCGTAAGTCGGACTGATGGCTGCTCGTGCGATTGAGGGTAGGATAGGCGGGGTGGATGAGTGCATTGTTTGAAATCGTCGATTTTCATTCCTTCTATCACTGTACAACTTTATGCTCAAATTTTACTTTGGTGCTTCAAATCTATAGTATTGTTCCCGTTTTTTAGCCTTCAGAAGAATTTTTTAGAATAATATTTGTTTCTTAGATTATTCTAGAAGCTGTGATGATCAGTATTCATGATAGAAAATTTTGCCAATTTTGAGTCGGTTTTGTAGGGAGGCTATGACTTGTTATGACTGCATTCATTTCAGAAATTAAACTATTTCACAATTTACCTAAGGTTAGTGAATGTATGGACCGTTGTTTAGTGAAATGTTATTGGGACGCCTTTAGGGGTTCGTGAATCGAGATGGACTTTCACTGTAGACTTATTCATATCTCGCAAAGTCACCTGGCAAGTGACGTTGAAATAACGTGGATTAAGCGTTGTCTCAACGAAATAAACATTTCAACGTTATTTGCCTGGAGGATTAACTGTAATGACGTTAGATTGTAAGTCATGTAAATTTCTGCAAGATCCCAAGCTAGTTAGTGTTAGCATAGAGAATTCATTGGATGCCCGTTAACGACAAATCTTATCAACCTTTAGATTGAATATTGTTCTTCTAACAACCAACGAAAGCGGTTCATATACCTTACTTATATATTTAACTAGAAACGAAACTGACCTGTACTTCACGTGTATAAAATAATAGATGAGAATCTGAACTTAATTTTTTGACACTTGTGTTTCGTAACCTCAGTATTGAATAGACCAGGTCCTAAATTTATGAAATCTTTATATATTTAAATAAAAGTTTGAGTTTAATTCAGAATGCGAATTTCGTTATCGAATCGAGAGGGCATAAAATTCACTAAAATAATGAATTGATTAAATTTTTTTATACAATTGTCTGGTTGATTTCAATAAAGTAATAAACAGGTTATAGAATTAGAGAAAGCCAGTTGCAAATTTAATTAAAGAAGCAATGCGTGTGTTCATTTTTATAACAACTTGGAGTGAGTTGTGCGGCGTTGTATGTAAGCAACTAAATTACATTACATTAGAAGCATTTACAGTAAAAAGCTGATTTCTAGTAAGAATTCATCTAATCTACAAGAATCTAAAAAACATTCATCATTACCAGAATCTAATGAATTAAGAATTCATCATTAGAAATCATCAGTAAGAATTCATCATTGCCAGAATCTAAGAATTCTTCTAATATCTAATCTGGTAGCGTTTATTTGTGTGGAAATTTGGTATGATTAGCTGAGTAGGTATTTATGTGAGTTTTTTAATTCTGCAATTCATGGAGGTGATTTTTTTAAAAATATATTATGCCAAGTTTTTTGTGCAAATTTGCTAAAGAAACAAAAACGTCAAAATTTTTTGGAAACTCAAAGTCTTTCGAATGCTCTTGGATTTCGAGGGCATGCAATCGTGTTATTAATATATAATGATTATTATTGACAGTAATATCTGTGTATCGTATTGAATCAATATTAATATAAAAATAATAAATAAAGATATCAAATTAAAATGTAATGGCTCATATACATATGCAAATTGTTAAAACGAAAAGTATTACTGAAAGCTTCGGTGATTTATACTGAAAATTAAAAGAAGATTCAATATATATTGGGTGGTTCAAGATAAATGGTTGAAAGGTTTGTTGAAGCATAATACAGACATCCAGTAATTATAGTTATCTATTCAACAAGTCACTCCTAAATAAATGTGGAAATGGTTATGTACAATTGAAGTCAGGCAGTTATGAAGTGTTGGCCAAAATTCATGCTCTGAAATGGTCTAAAAGAGTTTCGAGTTATTCGGCTTTCGTGAAGTCGAAAGCAGAAAGAATTTTCATTGAAACTGATGTTATTAATTAAAATAATTTAGAAGTAACCAAGTTATGAAGTACATTGAGTGTTATGTTGTATAGATAATTAAGCTAATTATTGTTAACATAATTTGTAATTTAAGCGTGCTGACCTCTGTACATATTGCGCGCTAGTCCTGATGCTTGTTTTCAAAAATATTTCTACGATCGTAAATATTACGATTAAAAAGTATTGGCTACAAGTTTGGGAATTACGATCGAAGATTATTCGAGTTAAAGACTGAACCGTTTCTGGAATCGTTTAAGTTTTGAAGATGCCGATGCGGAACCGATATTCCTCGTGAGAACCTGCCTCATAATCCACCTCTAAACTGCCATATTTATTCATAAGAGATAATCTTTTTCAGTTACATTAAATTTAATCCAATTCTTTCATTTGACCAAATAATTTCTCACCGAATTAATTTTTTTTAGATTTTGCTACCTCACCAGAATATTGAGACGATGTGAAATACCAATTTAGTTCGGTGCCACGGCAGTGCCTGATTCATTTCCAATATCGAATTTCCGTAGATATCAATCTAGGTGACATTTTCTAATGAAATAATTCCTTACTCTTCTTGATACCTCGAGCGTTGGTTACAGTATATGTACTCGACNAAAAAGTCTGTCTCTTATACACATCTAGATGTGTATAAGAGACAGAGCATATACCATCTGCCAATTATTTCTAGCATGGATTCCAGCTGCGGATTTTTACATTTATGGTAAATTTTTAAGGATTACTTTTATCTGATATAAATCCCATGAGTATTTATCTTCTAGAAAGCAGGTGTATGAGTAAATTATTTTGTGGAAGCCACTGTATAATATTATTATTGCATCGGAACGCTGCTTATAACTGTTGGATTTTTTTTCGAAATTTCACCAAATTGTGGGTCAGTTTTAGTTTCATGTTACAGCAAACAGTGTTATGGTATAATAAAATTCAATATAGAGATGCTCAAATGATTTAGGGAAAAAACAATTGATATGACCCTTGATTTTTTTATAAGATGGTCGGAATTTTAGTGGTGAGCTCATTTTTTGTAACAAATGACATGTATTTAGTTCTAGTACAGTTTCTGCAAAGAAATAATACGATTTGGAAGTCTGTTATTAAGAATTGCTGATATTTCATATCAGGATTAGTGTTTCTCGAAAAAGTAAATATCCAAGATTATTGATTTTTTCTGTATTATTAAATATGCGGAATTTTCCGATCTTAGTAGAGATGAAACAAAATAGCGGCATAGAAATGCATTGTGTAGCTATTGTGATGTGGTATAGATAATAATTATCGATGTCCTAGAAAATATAGCATCCAAATTACAATAAAATAAACTTAAAAAAATCGAAGTTTGTTAAATAGTCGATACGATGTGTCATGTGAATAGGAGCACCCAATTTCAGCTCTGTCTCTTGCACTCGCTAGATTTATGATCCATATATACGACGACTTCTATGTGGTAACTTTCAAATAAAAATTTAGAGTCGCCCCAGCGTCTGAAAACCAGAAGCTAGGGCGGTCGCTAATTTTATTCTGGTTTGTTGTTTATGATTTGTTATAAAAATTGATGCTGTTTGTTTAGCTTGTTGCTGAGGCCCACAATTTCTTTAACATTTTTCATGGAAGAGTTTCAGTGTCATTTGTAAATTTCGTTCGTTATTAATGTTAATTTCACCATTTTTGATGTCATAACAATTATTTCAACGCATTTCATACGGTTTTGCATCAAATTGGGTTCCGAACTCGAGGAATAATTTACATTTTCTGCGAAAATTTGCATTTTTAATAGCAAGAATTTATTGCAATTAATGTATAATGTTTTTAATGACAGATTCACCTCCGAATGCCCAATTGAATCAGCGTAGGTAGTTTAACCCAAAATTAAATTTCAACCATCATCTAAAATTTCCAGTTTAAAAAAAAAGGACGCAATTTATTTCTAATTATAATTGATATTTCACAAATTCAATTAAAAAATATATTATTAATACCGTTGCCTCGGCCGCTCATTCCCTCTGTTGTCTCCCTCGCCAATATTCATAGAATTTATTTTATTAATAAAACTTCAAAGCCAAGCTTCTCGTCTTTGATTTCCTTTTGATGTTCCCAGTAAAGCGCGTTGTAGAGTCCTTGATATTCATTGGCTGAGAACTATAGCTCATTCAATTCGTTCATGTTTCATACAGCATTGGTGGTTATTATAATATAATTATTATTATTTTTTATTAATTATTTATTATTATTATTTGTTAATTATTTATAATTATTATAAAAATTATTATAATCGGGATCATAGTGAACAGCCTCATCCTAGCCATTTTTGTGAAAAAAAAAATACTTATTTCAGCATTACAGCCTATGAAAGAAGGATTTTCATAACCATACTCACATATATAGGCCTGCAGTGAATTTTTATTTCATAAATTTGACGAAGATCTCGCTTACTCTTCGCTCTCGAAGCTCCAAATACAAATTTTCAAATCTAAAATACGAAAGAAAGTATCAATTTGTATCGGGTATTTTGAAATAAAACTCACAGAAGCCACAAGCTCGGGAAGGAGAAAGTGCGGAAGCGGAGTTGTTCACAACGCGGCTGAGAATCGTTAAGGAAGTCGACTTATGATTTGATGGTTGCATCGTGCCGCAATAGCGGTAGCAATAACTGATCAGAATGATAGTATTATTACAAAAATTTATTATTTCTTGCCGTTAAAATTAATTCCTCTTAAAGTAATTGTTAACATACTTTGCTGCATGTTTAGGAAGTGCTGTTAATTATGCAGTAAATTGTGTGATGTTGTTTTCAAAAGTAAAGTTTTCAAAAATTTCACATGATAGTACACGTATAAATTATATAAACTGTTAATTTAGCAGGGAATAAATCAATTACATCATTTCTTTGTTTTCCGTACTTTCTTGTGACATTTTTCCCCACCGGGACTCATCGTCAAACGCTTTTTAGCGCATTTTCTCATTTATGGAAAAAATGCACTATTGTGGTCGCCATGTCCGTCTGTCTGTTTGTCCGTCCGTCCGTCTGTCCGTCCGTCCGTGACCTCAAGTTAACGACGACGAGAAAATGCGCTCTCTGTCACTCACTGCAGTGAGTATTGAGTTATATTTTTTTATTTCTCCAGGTGATTTAGAAAGAAAAATTTAGGTGATGCTACAAGAGCTCTGGCAGATTATGGAATGGCGTTAGCCGCTCGCGAAGTTTTCTTCAAAAGAACAGATTTTTAACTTTGAGCCTTGTAGCTGAGTTTAATCCCAGGGAATGCATGGGTCTTCTCATTCTTTAGTAAAAACATTTGCGTGGTCTTTTGTTGCACATCTCTTTATCGCGGCAAAGATTTCACCAAAATATTCAGCGTACAGGAAACGAGTGGAGGGATAACATCAACTGTTTCCTTTAAATAACTAAATTTAAAAATTCAGGAAAGTATATCATGTATTACAAAATAAAATAATGAAAAATAAAAAAATAAATGTTAATGATGCTTAAGTTTGAGCTCAATTAAGCTCAAACTTCTACCTGCACAAGACATTTAAATTTTACCAGATCTACGGTTACGATGTTAAACATTCGTAGGCACCTTTCACTAATAAATTTTTTGTTTACTCTAAAATATTCATGGAAGTAGAGCGTCTAAAATGGCTGAGAGAACCATATTTGAACCCCCCATTACGGATTATGTTTTTACAGCATCCAGGCTGGTAAAAAATGTGCAGGTAAGACGTTGAGGCCAACTGATAGCTCGTAATCTGCATAACCGTTTCCTCAGGGTGCCATCTCGTCGACATTTACGGATGGCGGCAACGAGCGAAAGACATAAAAATCGACCAACGTTTTTCCAAGCAATTTAATGTGAATGTCCGAGCCTCGGAACGTATCTTCAAAAAACCGTACAGGGCATTTTTTCAGCATGGAAATCAAGAAATATACCAGGGATGAAAAGAGCAAGAAAAATACGCTACGAAAAATAAACGTCAAAAGTGACTAAAAAATATAACTCAGTAGGTACTCACTGCAGTGAGTGACAGAGGGCGCATTTTCTCGTCGACGAAAACGTGAAGTCACGGACGGACAAACGACAGAGGGACAGACAGACGGACGGACGGACAGACGGACGGACGGACAGACGGACATGGCGAGCACAATAGTGCATTTCTTCCATAAATGAGAAAATGAGCTAAAAACCCTCTAGTCAGGTTCATACCAACAACAAGTTCGCAGCGAAAATTTGTTTAGCCTAACATTAGTGAAGTCTTTTGCTAAAAACATGATGAATGCATCGCGTCATTCTCTTTATATAAGTAGAATATATTTTATCCATTGCACTGAATTGCGTTACTCAATCTTATAGGACCAATTAATAGAACGCACAGCCTTT